GACTATAAGAAACCCTGGTGGCACGGTGGTTAAGCACACAGTTGCTAAGTGAAAGGTTGCTCGTTGGAGACTACAGACTACCACTCCATGGGAGAAAGATGGAGCAGTATGCTTTCATAAAGATTATAGCCTTCAAAACCCTACAGAGAACTTCTAGCCTGTCCTCTAGGGATGCATTGAGTCAAAATCAATGGGAATTGGTTGGCTTTTTATCTATTATTGATAATATATAATGAGTACTCCACAGGTCCATGGGATCTGATTTTTGTGTTTATTGGTTTGTTCTTTATTTGTTTGGGGTTGTTTTAGAAATACTGTTTCTTTCTTGCTCAGCTTGGATAATTTCTGTTGCTCTGTCTTCAAACTCCCTATTTTCTTTCAATCTTCAGTGTGCCACTGCACCCATTCAATGGAATTTACATTTGTTTCTTTTTCATATCATCTGGTGCTTGGTTGAAAGTTACTACTTTTCCATCTATTTCAAGGTTATTTGTGACTGTTTCTTGGAGAATCATATAATAGCTACTTTAAAGTCTGTTAGATAATGCCAACATCTGTGCCATCTCAACACTGGCATTATTGTCTTTTCCCATGCAAATTCTAGTTCTTCATATATGAAGTCATTTTTTATTATGCCCAGGACATTTTGAGTAGTATGCTTTATGCCTCTGGGTCTACCCAGAATTATAGTTGTTTAGCAGCCAATCAACCTGCTTAGGTCCAGGAAGCAAGTTCTCATCTGTTTACTGTGTATTTAGGTTTAGTTTTCAAAGCCTTTACACTGCTATGTAGATCTGTCCTCTGTGTGCTCCATAGATGGATCATGCTGCTATGTGGACAGTCACCAATTTGTCAATTCAGTTCTCAGTGTAACACATGTGCTCATCAGAACCATATCTACATATGTGCACTTCAAGGGTAGCGAGTATACAAGTTCATAAACAACTCTAGGAATCACTTTCCCAAGCTTTTATTTTCCAAAACTCTCTAGTACTTTCAAATACCTCTTTTCATTCCTCTGGCCATAAAGTGGGATTCTTAGTTGCTTCACTCTGTAGCATACGTCCAGGACAGATGCTAAGTAGTAGGAATATATATATATATATAGAAAAGATCATGAGTTCAACACGCTTTTGGGGGAGCACAACTCAATGATGGGAAGAAAGTCCCCCTCCCTCAGAGGTTTAGCTCTTATTGGCACCCTTTTCTATGCTGCCACCATAGGATTCTTTGGGAGCCGTAGTGTGAGAAAATGGAAAGAAGTTTAAAAAAAAAAAAAAAACCCTCAGAATTTCCACAATCTCTAAATATTAGTTCTCTTTCATGTCCCTTGAGTTAGGAATGCAAGGCTGTACTGGAACTCTATCTTTTTTTTTTTTTAAGTTTTTATTGTGAATTGAGTGATAATTTACATCAGCAAATATCAGCTTTACATTCATCCTATCTTATTTCATTTCACTGCAATGATTTCAATCCCCTCTATGCAATGGAACTCACTCTTCCTTGGTGGTTCCAGTTTTCAGAATTCATTGTATTCAGGTGAGGGAATAATGAAACCAAAAAACAAAATAATTCATAGAGACTCTGCATAGAGTTTCCATGGTAGCAGCTAGTGGATTTGAATTGCTGATCTTGTGGTTAGCAGTCCAGTGCTTACCCTACAAGCGCAACCAGTGCTCCTTAATTGAAAACCAAGTTCCTACAGGATTTGAACCCAGAACTTCTCACATCTAAAGTGAGAGTCATATACCTAGACCAAGACTGATAAGCCACTATATAGAAAATAACCAGGATGTGTGAGGATGGTAAATTCACTGCCCACTTGGAGGTACTTCAAATTCTGCTGTTCTTCCCCAATTCACTTGCTATTTCAGAGTCTTTTACTCTTCAGTCTTGAAATAGGTACCTCATGCACTCCCTCCAAGTTTTATCATTATGTTCAGTGGAAAAGACAGGACAAAGTGTGTTTACTCCATGTTATGAAGAACCAGACTCTCCACATCTAACATTAGGTGCATGCTGTGAGCCAAGACTGTAGTGTTTTATTCATCTAATCTAATCTAAGTCTTACAAAACCCTTAAAGCTACATTGTAATCTTCCTTATATATATGAGGTAACAGATGCTTAGAGGAGATGAAGCTCCTTGCCAGAGGTCACCTGACTATAATGACAAGACTCCTAGTATGCCTTAAAAATGATGCTATAATGTATCCGGACCACCTGCTCCAAAACCAACTAAAGTACTTATTAAAATGGAAGTTTCCTGTGCCCCATCCAAGTTATACTAAATCAAAATCTCTGAGAATAGGACTCAAGAAAATTCCTTTGTAAACTGTAGTTCAGAACCAATGCATATTACTTCCAATAAAAGAAGCCTTCAGTCTAAATAACGTTTAAAAGGATGTCAGTGTGCTTCAGTAGGAATGCCCATTAGTGTTGGCATCAATCAGTTTAAAATAGGTTACATATGCTCACGTTCTTCAGTCGTCTGTATCATGTTAAGGGACATAAAATGAGATTTGTTATAAACCGAAGTTCACTTTATGTGCAGGAAGATTTCCTGAACTGTAAGTCATGAACCCAACACATTCTCCCCACTCCAACCCATGCCAATGAGAGTTCCATAACAGGAGGCATCCCCAAGTAATATACCCCAAGAGTATTAGTCAACCGGTACACCAAGTTCTATTTTGGAATGAAAAGAGGAATAAGTTAAGTCTGCTTATTCATCATAGACAATTCTAGCTCATTGCACCCTAGCTTCTCTCTTGATGGACCTTACTTAATTAAACAAAAATTTTGATAGGCTACCTGTCAAAAACTGGCAACCTCACCTTCTGTAAGGTCCGTTTGAATGATGACTCCCCTCAGTAATAAATAAATCTGAATAAGAAATACTTATAGTAATAGATACATCTGAATAAGAAATAGTTATAAAACCTTTCTCACTCGCTATATATGTATGCCTAATAGGGAAGGAGAAACTCTTGCATTAAAATCAGAAATGTCTTGTTTTGCTTTGTTGTTGTTGCAGTTTTAAGTGAAAGGAGTTTTAGGGAAAAGTGGCATGTTAGTATACAATTATGAAGGTTGGAGGAGTCAGTAAGATTGTAACATCCGCACAAGATGTCTAGTAAGTGATGTAAATAACACTATAACCCAATACGCATAACACTTTTTGTTTTCCTGAGGCTCTCAATGAGTCTGTAAATACTGCCTTTAATGGCTCATAACAAATAGTATAATTTCTAACTCACATATGGGAAAAACAAGGCCAAGAATGCCATTCTACAAAGCCCTCTGACAGTCTCTTTAAAAAAAAAAAAAGTGTAATAACACATCATAACAATAATTCACATTTTAGTTCTCAAACTTATGATAAATAGTCTGCTTTGAAATAAAATTCTTGTTTGAAAATATTCTTATAGATAATTTCGAAGAAGTTCAAAAGTTTCAAATTGATCAGCAGTAATGAATCAAAAAAATAAAAAGAATTCAGTTATTTTCAACAACAGTGAAGAATATGTCAACCAGTAATTTTCTTTCTTTTTCTTCTGCAGAAAGCAAACTCCAAAACATATGGCTCAGGAAGAAAATCTGTACTCGTTTACAGCAATGAACTGGCTTTTACATCTCTGCAGCTAGAGTACGCAAATGACTTCACAGGCAACAGCGTCCGTATGTTTCATATTTTTAACATTGACCGTTCATAATAAAGATTCTTTGATCCAAGATCAAATGTTTGAATCAATTTTCTCTACACTTACTCAGAGTCACCATTATAAAAACGCTCCTCTTTCCCACCTTAGATGTTCCAGCCCTTCCTGCAGTCAGAACTATCTCCATTTGTCACCTTCTCTACAGTTCTTTCCACCCCTTTGCTGTGGTTTTGAGCTCTGCTCGTTAACGTCGCTTATAAAGGAAGCACAGTAATAAATAATTTTTGTACATAATAAGACGACTACAATAAATAAGGTTCCCCTAAGAAATTCACAAGCATATTTAACAAAACTGAAAGCTCATGTTAATGTGGTTGGTACAAAAATGGAACTTTCAATCAGAATAAAATCCCCAATAGATGAGGACTTTGCCAACATGTAAGAAAAATAAGAGCAAAAATGTAAATAGATGCTTTTAAAACTAAAAGAAATCACATTTCTGGGATTAGAACAGGAGAAAGTGAACTGCAACCTAATGCACTGATTGGAAACAAAGACAAAAATTTTGAATAAATAGAAAAATATCAAATCAAAAAATAAAAAGTATAGTCAGTGCTAGAAAGGTAGTGTATCTGCAACATAACATTATTATTTTAACTGATTCCAAGACTTTTTTTTTTAAGGCATTCCTTAGAAGCAGCATTTTGGATATAACTTTAATTGATAACGTGAATTTCACAGAAATCTACTCATTAAACAAAGGCAGTTCTGGTGTGGCACTGGGGGTTAATGCACTGGTCTGCAAAATCACTTGAATCGCAAGGTTAGCAGTTCAAGCTTACCAGTCCTCCTTGGAAACCCTATACAGGGTCACTATAGGTCAGAATCGACTCGATGGCACTTAACACAACAACAATATATAAAAAAAGTATTGTTGCTGTTTTAAGTTTTTCAATGGAAAATGGAGTAATGTGGTAGTAGATCAATATTTTCATAGTTTTCGTATTTTTTGCCTAATTAAACCGCAAATGGTTAAAAAAATAATAATACATGTTAAAAATTTCTGTAACATGGATTTTGCTTTCACATTTTGTTTTAGGGAAATATAAGCTCCTATGATTCTTGATTTCAAAATATAGCTAGAGTATGCCAAATGTTGAATCAGCCTTATTCCTTACAATTTATCAATATGAAGATTGTATACTTCTTGGTGCCAACCCAGGAAATCCTGAGTTGAATATGGAACAACATTTGTTTGAAGCAATATTGAACTTTCCTGACTTTATACAAAATGAGTTAGTGCATATATCACCGAATCCCTCCCAATGATTATAGATTACCTTGCACATGGTAGCAAACTGTTGGTTATTTCCTGATCCAACTACAAGATAGCCATCCTTGGTTTTAAAAGCCTAAAATAAACAAATACATATATAAATATATACATAGATATATTGAGATATTATAAAAACCTAATTTCTAAAAGTTCAATATAGAAAGTTTTATTGAACTGCAATATTATTAATTACTTCAATATCAAAGAGTAGTAATAGTATCTGTTTCTATTATACATGCAGAATTGTTTTCATTTGGGATTTTCATAGGAATTTCCAGCTCTTCTACTACTTGCAGGAAGAAGAGTGAGTTAGAAAAATAGGAAAAACACTGTAATTTTACTTTAACCCATAAAGTAGAATTCTGTATTCAATATACCCAAAAGTAAAACTATTTACGGCTGACATGCCCATTCCAACTCATAATGAACCTGTAAGGACAGAGTAGATATACTTCATAGGGTTTCTGAGACTGTAAATATTAGCAAGGACAGTCTCATCATTCTCTTGCAGAGCAAATGGTTTGTTTGAACCACCAACCTTGCAGTTAGCAGCCCAACACTTAACCCACTACATCACCAGGGTTTCTTGTATTTTATATAATATGAAGAAATGTTAGGGCAAAGATCAAGAGGATACACCATTTCCTACGAAGTGCAAAAAGAAGAGAAAAAAAAAAAGGAAAGCAGGTTGGGAAAAAGGAAGGAAGAGAGGGAGGCAAGGCATGGGAGGGTAGGGTGGGGAGGAAGCGGGAAGGAAAGGCAAGCAACCTGTTGGATGTACAGTTCTTCTTTGAAGATCTCAGATGTTAAACATTTGGGAAACATACTATGCAGTAAGTGGAAAATGGTATACCAGGATTCCGCTAGACATTATGTGGCCTTTTGTACCTGAAAATGTGTGACCCTTTTTGGAGATACAAGAGGGCTTCAAAAAGTTCATGGAAAAGTAGATTAAAAGACAAGATCATACTTTCGCGAATTGTTTGAAGTCCCCTTATGTGTTAATATAACTGTCCTATAAATAATTGGCATTCCACCATCCATAGCCCTACCTTGTCTGGAGAGTTTTTCAACACTCCCTTTTCCCAATTTGATCACAGTGCAGGTTAAAGAAACCAAACTTTACCCTCAGAGGCATCATTGCAACTTTCCTTAAGTAAATGACTCTCTTTGCTTTCCTTCCTTTCTACCTCAAAATTACTGTGTGTCTACTTTTTCTTTACTTCCTCTAGCCTCTGGGGGGTGGGGTAGCCTTTAGTCCTGGTGCAGCATTGTAAGATAACCACAGGACTGCCGACAACAAGGTTGGTGATTCAAACCCACCAGCTGCACCTTAGGAATCCTATACAGAGTTGCTATGAGTTGCAACTCACTCAAGACACTTAACAATGACTACCTTCCTTCGGAACCGACTCGATAGCACATAACAACAACCTTCCTTTTAGGATTTATTTCTATGTTAATGTCCTTGGTCCTACTTTTTCCCATGTCCTGCAGAACCTTCTTCGGTCACCTTGAATATTGTCATTTCCATTTCATCCTTAGTTTCTGTATATATATAGGCACAAGTCTGCACTAAAAGTATCTATAGGCAACAAAATAACACTCCCATTGATGCTGATACACTTCTTAAGTATCTTGAATTTTTCTTCCTTCCTCCCATCTCCAAATGATGTAAAAGTGCCACCTGCCTACAACTCCTCACCAACCACCGCCTTCCAAGATCCTTTGTTATCAGTTTTTTTTATCCTATACTAGATTTATACTAGTCCAGTAGGATAAGCACTGGACTGCCAGCCACAAGGTCAGCTGTTCAAAACCACCAGCTGCTCCTCAGAAACCCTATATAGGGTCACTACGGGTCAGAACTGACTTGATGGCACCTAGCAAGGACATACCAGGCTGAAGTTATTAATTATTTGGCCGCTCTGCACTATTTGGTACTGTCTGCTCTATAGGCTCTGCCCCGGTTCTTTTCCTAGCGCTTTGACCGCTCTTCCATGTGCCACTTTTGCAGAATTTTCTTCTCCTCAACTTTCCACATTCCTTCAGGATTTGTCTTTGGTCTTTCACTCATTTGCTTCTTTTATATAGAATTTGCTCTAATATACTAGCCAGTAGCCACTATTTCAACTATTTAACCTGAAATAAATTGAGTTGTTGTTGTTATGTGCTGTGGAGTCGGCTCCGACCCATAGCGACCCTGTAAATGGTTTCTGAGGCAGTAAATCTTTACGGGAGCAGAAAGCTTCATCTTCCTCCCGTGGAACTTCTGGTAGTTTCGAACTGCTGACCTTGAGGTTGATAGCCCAACTCTAGCCACTACGCTACTATTTACAAAATGCCACGTATCATATTTATTTGCTATATCCAGAATAAGCAAATTCATAGAAAGTGAAGGTAAATTGGTGATTATCTAGGGCTGAGTAGCATACTGGTTATGAGTTAGGCTTCTAACCGTAAGGTCAGCAGTTTGAAACTACCAGCTGGTCTGCAGGAGAAAGATGGGGCTTTCTGCTCCCATAAAGATTTATAACCTCGGAAACCCTGTACAGGGTCGCTGTGGGTAAAACCGATTCAACAGCACATAACCACCACCACCAGGGCTGAGAAGGTTGAGGAGAAATGGGGTTTAACTGGTAATAGGGGCGGGATTTTTTTGTTGGGATGATAAAAATGTTCTAAAATTGATGGCAATGATGGCTGGACAACTTAGTGAGTACGTTAAAAATGGCACTGAGTGAATTATGTTGTTGTTATTGTTGAGTGCCGCCTCATCAGTTCTGACTCATAGTGACCCTGTATAGGGTTTCTAAGGAGTGGCCAGCGGATTTGAACTACCAACCTGTGGTTAGCAGTCGAGTGTTGATCCTACAACACCACACAAGGAAGAGTATGTGAATTACATCTTAATAAAGTTAGTATTTAAAGGAAAAGTTCCATTTCACAGTCACAGTTGCCACATTCCACGCACAAAATAGCTACATGTGGCTAGTGATCTCCATCATCACAGATTAATTGTATCATTTTTCCTTTATTCTTTTTACTAAGCTTTTCATGATATCTAAAGAATGTTAAGCAATTAACAAAGAGAGTAAAGTGATAATGCATCAATCACATGATTGCCCCTGTAATGTAAACTCTTGGCTGAAATGAATCTCAAGCACAGTACTATAACAAGGCATTATTCTATTGACACTTTTGTATGATTTGGTAAGGAATGTTATTAAGAAGATACTACATGAACTATTTTAAATCTAGATTTCTCTTCACCACAGGGACAAAAGCAAAGTTATTGCTATAAATAGTGTACTAGTGGTGCTGTGGGTTAATGTGCCAGACTGCAAAGCTGTTTGAACTGCAAGGTCGGTGGTTCAAACTCACCAGCTGCTCCTTGGAAACCCTATACAGGGTCACTGTGGGTCGGAATCGACTAGATGGCACTTAACAACAAGTCTTTCTTAGACTATGGGAAGAGAATCTGCAAAAGAGATCTCAGTGAAGGACAAAGGATACTTGAGCTGGGACTTCCTAAAGCATCATTTATAACCATAAACTTATGTAGGTTGCTTGTTTCCTTGCTTTCAGTGCGGGGGTGAGAAAGGGAGACAAGTGAGGAGTGGGTAACTGTGAAGTCATAATCTAAGGGCCAACTCTAGTGTGAAGAAATGTTCTCATAATTTTGGATCTGTGACATGTACCACAAGTTTATGCTCATTTGAGTGCTCATTTCTTTATAATAAATAAAGAAATGCCACCATCATAGTCATGAAATATGTTTACCAAAAAATATTTAAAATTTTAAAGCAGAGATAACTAGTAAATGATCATGAGAAAATAAAGACAGAATAGATACATTTTAAATATGTTTTGGAATAAGTAAAACATTGTCACGCTAGAAATTTGAGCAATTAAAAATAAACAAAGGGAAAGAGAGAAAAAAATTAATGAACTAGAAAACACAACTGTAAGTTGTTGTTGTTGTTAGGCGCCATCGAGAAGGTACCAACCCATAGCGACCTTATGCACAACAGAACGAAACACTGCCCGATCCTGGGCCAACCTCACCACTGTAAGTAAGTAAGATACCTACAGTATCTTACAACTGTAAATAAGACAGACTTTTTTATTCATTGTTTTAAAATTCATATCTTACTATGAATAAATTTCTATTATGCTTGGTTTAATTTAATATCTTATTGTAAGAATTTTTTAATGTTATTGTTTTAATGCCTTAAGTTTCCATTTCAAAATTGATATAACCTTTTCCAGTTTAACAAAACTGGAGGGTATTTTTGTTTTATTTTGTAATTCTAAACAAACCCTATATCATATAGTCAATATCACAAAAAAATATTTACTGTCACAGTGAAATTCTGAAATAAAATATGTTAGGGGCTGTTCAATCAGTTCTGACTCAGCACAACAGATGAAACATAGCCCAGTCCTGAATGATCCTCACAACTGTTGTTAAGTTTGAGTCCATTGTTGCAGCCACTGTGTCAATCTATGTCGTTAGAGGTCTTCCTTTTTTTTCCCTGTATGTTTTTCTCTGTATGTATGATGTCCTTCTCTAGGGACTGGTCTCTTCTCATAACAAGTCCAAAGTATGAGAGAGGAATGAAGTCTGGCCATCGTGGCTTCTAAGGAACATTCTGGCTGCACTTCTTCCAACACAGATTTGCTTATTCTTCTGGCTGTGTGTGGTACTTTTAATATTCTTCTCCAGCACTATAATTCAAATGCCTTGATTCTTCTAGGGTCTTCCTTATTTGTTGTCCAATTTTCGTATGCATTATGTGACTATTAAAAAATACCATGACTTGGATCAGGTGCATCTTAGTCTTAAAACTGATATATATCTTTGCTCTTTGGCACATTAAGGAGGTATTTTTAAAGTCACCCTTGCCCCACCAAAACATGAAAACTACAGAAGCAAAGTGAATTTCATTTCTACCATTTACTTAAGCTGTATAATACCAGGCAAACGACATAATCTCAGGGTCTCAATTTTACTTCAGTAGAACTGCGATGCTCAATGCCTATCTTAACAACAACAACAATCTTTAGAGCTAT